GTGGGCATGTGCATGTGCATGTACATGTGCGTGGGCATGTGCATGTGCGTGGGCATGTGCATGTGCATGTGCGTGGGCGTGGGCATGTGCGTGGGCGTGGGCATGTGCATGTGCATGTGCATGTGCGTGGGCATGTGCATGTGCATGTGCATGGGCATGGGCGTGGGCGTGGGCGTGGGCGTGGGCATGTGCGTGGGCATGTGCGTGGGCATGTGCGTGGGCATGTGCGTGGGCATGTGCATGCGCGTGGGCATGTGCGTGGGCATGTGCATGTGCATGTGCATGTGCGTGGGCATGTGCATGTGCGTGGGCATGTGCATGTGCATGTGCGTGGGCGTGGGCATGTGCGTGGGCATGTGCGTGGGCGTGGGCATGTGCATGTGCGTGGGCATGGGCATGTGCGTGGGCGTGGGCATGTGCGTGGGCGTGGGCATGTGCATGTGCATGTGCATGTGCGTGGGCATGTGCATGTGCGTGGGCGTGGGCGTGGGCGTGGGCATGTGCGTGGGCATGTGCGTGGGCATGTGCGTGGGCATGTGCATGGGCGTGGGCATGTGCGTGGGCATGTGCATGTGCATGTGCATGTGCGTGGGCATGTGCATGTGCGTGGGCATGTGCATGTGCATGTGCGTGGGCGTGGGCATGTGCATGTGCGTGGGCGTGGGCATGTGCATGTGCATGTGCGTGGGCATGTGCATGTGCATGTGCATGTGCATGGGCGTGGGCATGTGCGTGGGCATGTGCGTGGGCATGTGCGTGGGCATGTGCATGGGCGTGGGCATGTGCGTGGGCATGTGCATGTGCATGTGCATGTGCGTGGGCATGTGCATGTGCGTGGGCATGTGCATGTGCATGTGCGTGGGCGTGGGCATGTGCATGTGCGTGGGCGTGGGCATGTGCATGTGCATGTGCGTGGGCATGTGCATGTGCATGTGCATGTGCATGGGCGTGGGCATGTGCGTGGGCATGTGCGTGGGCATGTGCGTGGGCATGTGCGTGGGCATGTGCATGGGCGTGGGCATGTGCATGGGCATGTGCATGTGCATGTGCATGTGCATGGGCATGTGCATGTGCGTGGGCATGTGCATGTGCATGTGCGTGGGCGTGGGCATGTGCATGTGCGTGGGCGTGGGCATGTGCATGTGCATGTGCGTGGGCATGTGCATGTGCATGTGCATGGGCATGGGCGTGGGCGTGGGCGTGGGCGTGGGCGTGGGCATGGGCGTGGGCGTGGGCATGTGCATGTGCGTGGGCATGTGCATGTGCATGTGCGTGGTCATGTGCATGTGCATGTGCGTGGGCGTGGGCATGTGCATGTGCGTGGGCGTGGGCATGTGCATGTGCATGGGCGTGGGCATGTGCGTGGGCATGTGCGTGGGCATGTGCGTGGGCATGTGCGTGGGCATGTGCATGGGCGTGGGCATGTGCGTGGGCATGTGCATGTGCATGTGCATGTGCGTGGGCATGTGCATGTGCGTGGGCATGTGCATGTGCATGTGCGTGGGCGTGGGCATGTGCATGTGCGTGGGCGTGGGCATGTGCATGTGCATGTGCGTGGGCATGTGCATGTGCATGTGCATGTGCATGGGCGTGGGCATGTGCGTGGGCATGTGCGTGGGCATGTGCGTGGGCATGTGCGTGGGCATGTGCATGGGCGTGGGCATGTGCGTGGGCATGTGCATGTGCATGTGCATGTGCGTGGGCATGTGCATGTGCGTGGGCATGTGCATGTGCATGTGCGTGGGCGTGGGCATGTGCATGTGCGTGGGCGTGGGCATGTGCATGTGCATGTGCGTGGGCGTGGGCATGTGCATGTGCATGGGCGTGGGCATGTGCGTGGGCATGTGCGTGGGCATGTGCGTGGGCATGTGCGTGGGCATGTGCATGGGCGTGGGCATGTGCGTGGGCATGTGCATGTGCATGTGCATGTGCGTGGGCATGTGCATGTGCGTGGGCATGTGCATGTGCATGTGCGTGGGCGTGGGCATGTGCATGTGCGTGGGCGTGGGCATGTGCATGTGCATGTGCGTGGGCATGTGCATGTGCATGTGCATGTGCATGGGCGTGGGCATGTGCGTGGGCATGTGCGTGGGCATGTGCGTGGGCATGTGCATGGGCGTGGGCATGTGCGTGGGCATGTGCATGTGCATGTACATGTGCGTGGGCATGTGCATGTGCGTGGGCATGTGCATGTGCATGTGCGTGGGCGTGGGCATGTGCGTGGGCGTGGGCATGTGCATGTGCATGTGCATGTGCGTGGGCATGTGCATGTGCATGTGCATGGGCATGGGCGTGGGCGTGGGCGTGGGCGTGGGCATGTGCGTGGGCATGTGCGTGGGCATGTGCGTGGGCATGTGTGTGGGCATGTGCATGCGCGTGGGCATGTGCGTGGGCATGTGCATGTGCATGTGCATGTGCGTGGGCATGTGCATGTGCGTGGGCATGTGCATGTGCATGTGCGTGGGCGTGGGCATGTGCGTGGGCATGTGCGTGGGCGTGGGCATGTGCATGTGCGTGGGCATGGGCATGTGCGTGGGCGTGGGCATGTGCGTGGGCGTGGGCATGTGCATGTGCATGTGCATGTGCGTGGGCATGTGCATGTGCGTGGGCGTGGGCGTGGGCGTGGGCATGTGCGTGGGCATGTGCGTGGGCATGTGCGTGGGCATGTGCATGGGCGTGGGCATGTGCGTGGGCATGTGCATGTGCATGTGCATGTGCGTGGGCATGTGCATGTGCGTGGGCATGTGCATGTGCATGTGCGTGGGCGTGGGCATGTGCATGTGCGTGGGCGTGGGCATGTGCATGTGCATGTGCGTGGGCATGTGCATGTGCATGTGCATGTGCATGGGCGTGGGCATGTGCGTGGGCATGTGCGTGGGCATGTGCGTGGGCATGTGCATGGGCGTGGGCATGTGCGTGGGCATGTGCATGTGCATGTGCATGTGCGTGGGCATGTGCATGTGCGTGGGCATGTGCATGTGCGTGGGCGTGGGCATGTGCATGTGCGTGGGCGTGGGCATGTGCATGTGCATGTGCGTGGGCATGTGCATGTGCATGTGCATGGGCATGGGCGTGGGCGTGGGCGTGGGCGTGGGCGTGGGCGTGGGCGTGGGCATGGGCGTGGGCATGTGCATGTGCATGTGCATGTGCATGGGTGCAGGTGAAGATAGCGGACTTTGGGTTGCTGAGGGAGGTGGGCAAGGAGGAGATGGGCACGTTCACCAAGGTGGCGGGCACGCGGGGCTACATGGATCCCGACTACATGACGCTCGAAATGCTCACCACTCGCAGTGATGTCTACAGGTGCCTCCTCCTTCCCATGCCCCTGCCGCTTCATGCATGCCTTGTGTTCTTTAACTGTCCTTGTGCCCCCACCCAGATTCCCTGCTCGTGCTCCTCAATGTCATGCCACTGCTCTCTCTCCACACACGGTCACCCACATGCCACTTGAGCTCTTGTGTCAACTTCACAGGCCCTTTCCCATCTTTTTTTCCTCCTCATTCCGCATTGGCCTGATGTGTGCATGGTCAGTTTCGGAGTGCTACTGCTGGAGCTGGTGACGGGGAGGGAGGCGATGGAGAGGGATCCAGACGACAAGGACCGGCTGGTGCACATAACGACGGTGGTGCTGCCCTTGGTGGCCTCGCGCCACATCCACCTCATCGTTGACACACGCGTCGCCACGCTACTCAACCTGCCCGCGCTGCTCTCCATGGCTCAGATCGCAGCGCACTGTGTGCAGCAGCCCGCCACGCGGCGCCCCGAGATGGTGGAGGTGGTGAAAGCGCTGCACGCCGTCAACAAGACCTACCTCGCCACGCTCTCCGCTCATGCCGCTCCTGACGCTGCTCCTCCAGGCGTGGATGGATTGCAGGCCGTGAATGAGGAGAGGGGGGCAAGCGCTGGTGCGCATGCACAAGGTATGGCGACATATGATGAAGCGGCGGTGGGTGATGCAGCATGGGCGGGTGGGTGGTCACGGGAGGTGCTGTGTGCGTGCAATGTGAACCCCGCCAATGAGGTGGACGTCGCCACGTGGCGCATGGCACACGCCAGCACTGCTCTCGCAGCGGCGGCAGCGGCACTGATGGAGGCGCGGGCAACAGTGGAGATGGAGGGGCTGCACAGTGACAGTGAGCGCACGGCAGAGGTGGAGAGCAAGGCGCCCGTGGGGGAGCTGCCGGCGGTGCCACTGCTGGAGCAGCGCAGCACGGGGGGGTCGGCCATCAACCTGAGCCGGTCGCAGGAGGGCTCCGGTGAGGGGCGGCGCATGGGTGACTCGGGCAGCTGGGTGGCCAAGATCCTGGGCCGGGGCAAGCAGGGCGGTGCTGCATGATGTATGCACACGGTGGTGTGGGGCTTGCTGGCTGGCACCTCTTGCGTACACACTGCTGCTGGCGGCTGTCACCACTCCTCCTTGGGATCGGTTGGACACATCTGTTGCGTGCGCCTCTGCTGGTGGCCTGCATGTGTGGTTGGAGAAGCCATAGGCACGACCATTGTCACTGGCATTGTGTGTCTAAGGCACCCAAGCTGAATGGTGTTTGGGGGCTGCATGCACTTTGCTGTGGTTTAGACAGCTGTAGTTAGCATTAGTGGTTTGCAACATGTTTTGTGTGGAATGAAACTTGTTGTAGGCTGATAGTGCATGTGTTGCCTGGGCCTCTGTGTGGGTTCTTGAGGCTAGCGGAATGCTTGTTGTTGCATCAAGCTAACTGACACTTGCCTTAGCATGGCTGCTGTGATGGTATGCCACACTTGCAAGGCAGTGTTTGCTGGAAGAAACATGCCATTCTTAGGATGCATTGGCATTAATGTGCAACAAGGGGGCCAAAGGCAGCATGGTATGGATACCGGTACATCTGTGTGCCACTTAGCAGCACTCTTCTATTGACTCCCAACTCCACTCTCTCCTCCCTTGTTTCATCACCTGCCTCTGCACCGTACCATCTCCTCCCAGCCCTTTCTGTCCCTGCTCTCCCTACCACACCATGTGTGCGTCACGCCTCCACCTCTTCAAACACCTGAGGCACGGCCACAGCAGGTTCGGCATCGCTGTCCATCCAGGCGGGGAGGGGCAGCCCCTTGGCGCTGAGGAAGGGCGGGTTGAAGAGACGGCCCTGGTAGCGCGTGCCCAGGTCACACAGCACGGTCACGATGGTGTGGCCTGGCCCCATGGCGCGCGCCAGCCGCATGGCACCCGCCACGTTGATGCCCGATGACAGCCCCACACACAGCCCCTCGTGCCGCAGCAGGTCGTACACCACCGGCAGCGCCTCTGCGTCCTCCACCTGCCACACAGGGCGGGGACACAGCAGGGAGAGGTGCTGGTGCCTTGTAGGCCACATGCGGGAAGGCGCGGCAGCAGCAAGCAGAGAAAAGGTTGAAGAAGAGAGAGTGTGGGTGGGGGGCGGAGAGGCAGTCACCTGGCAGCAGAAGTCAACGCATCCCCCTTCTCTCTCAGGCAGCCCCCACCCCTGCAGGTTGCCTGTGATGCGCCCCTGCCCTATGCCCTCTGATATCTGCACACCACGCACGGCACACAGCAGTAGCATGGGCCCAGTGGTGAGGAGGAGGGGTAGGGTGCAGCGAGCATAGTGGTGGAAAGGACGCAGCAACCATCTCCTAGCCCCAGCCACCTCTAGTGCACCCACCCCATCCACCTTTCCCAACTTATCCTCCCCCTCCCCTTTCCCCAATATTCCCTTCCCCCCTCCTCCCCCTCTCTTAGTCATCCCCCTTCCCAAGGCGGCGTCTCACGGAGGAGCCATGGGCCTCGAGAGTGCCATTGTTGTAGTAGCTGAACATGGCGGCGCCCATGGGGTCCACCATGCCCACCCGCACGCCCGCCTTGCGCTCCTTCAGGTACTGCGCCCACCAGAGGGAGAGGGGGGGGGGGGGGGGTAAAGGGCAAACAGAAACGTTGGGGGTAAGAGCGGAATGGGCTTGAGAGAGTGCGAGGTGCAACAGACACGAGGACGTGGAAGGGTGCAGTGCGACAGGGCTCAGGGGCTTCGATCATGCCAGCATTGCTGCGTGACTTTCAAATGCTTCCCGAGCCACAGAAAAGAAATTGACTCACTCATCCACCATTGCCATGCCTCTCTCCTCCCAGCTCTTTCACGCCCCTGCACCCTGTCTCAGCCAACCTCCCATTCTGGTCCTCCTGCCGCCCTCCCTTAAAGCACACTGCCCACCTTGCCGGTGCCAGCGAGGGTGCCGCCCGTGCCGATGGCGCAGATGAACGCGTCCACTCGCCCCTCCGTCTGCGCCCAGATCTCCGGGCCTGCACTCACAGCGCCACACACTCACAGCGCCACACACTCACAGCGCCACACACTCACAGCGCCACACACTCACAGCGCCACACACTCACAGCGCCACACACTCACAGCGCCACACACTCACAGCGCCACACGCACACAGAGGGAGGGAGTGCTCGTGAGGAGGGCGCAGGGGATGGAGACACGAGCGCGAAGGGATGTTCGAGGACACTCGCAGCACACAGGGGCCTGGGAGACACGTGACGTCACTCACCCGTTGTCTCATAGTGGGCCTGGCGATTGGCTGTGTTGTCAAACTGAAGGGCGGCACATGGGAGGAGGATACAAGAGCATGCAAACGAGCGAGACAGGGGAAAGGTGGGGATTTAAGAATGTAAAAAAATAAAACCAGGTTATGATACAGGGGCTGGAACATGGACAAAGGAGAGACGAGCGGAACGGGGAGCGAAATGGGGCATGGTGCATAGCAACAGCGGTGAGAGGTGGCCATTGACACAGCAGGGGATGCAGTGAGCAGACAGCCCACCCACGCAATCGCACACATCACGTGCTTCCCCCCACCCTCGTCCGCCCCACTGATAGCGCTCACCTGGTTGCCCCATATGGCACCGCCTGGATGGGTCTGCAGCACCGACGACCGGCAGGGGGCAGGGCGCAGAGGGCAGGGTGCACAGAGCAGGGGCAACGGGAGAAAAAGAGGGTGAGAGCACGTTGGGAGGGAGGGAGCTGTTGGTGCAAGGCATGGTGTGCACTGCGACAACGGTGGGATGCAAGGGCAGAGAAGCATCGACACGTGGTGCAGGAGGTGTGTGGGAGCAGGAGGGCACCTTGGCAATGGCTTGTGCGAGCCTGCCCGAGTACTTGACGTAGTTGTTGGGGTTCTTGTATGGCACTGCTGGCACCTGCACGCCCACCCCCATGCATGCACGCCCACCCCCATGCATGCACGCCCACCCCCATGCATGCACGCCCACCCCCATGCATGCATGCACGCCATGCACGCAGAGAGGCATGGCAGCGCACAGGAAATAGCAGTGGAAAGGTGAAGACGGAGGGCGGAGAACCAAGAGAGGGGTTGTGGTTGCGAGAGGCGATAGTTTGGTCGGACGAGTGGCGATGGAGGGAGGTGGAGCATGGGGAGGTGCATGGTGACACGCACCTCAACCAGCGTGGCTCCTGCAATGCGCAGCATGTCCTTCTTCTCCTGCTCCTTGCACGGTGCTCTCACACATGCATGCACACACACACATGCACGCACACACACACATGCACGCACACACACACACACACACACACACACACACACATGCGCACAGACACATGCGCACACACACACACACACATACATGCGCACACACACACACAGACACACACACACACATGCGCGCGCGCACACACACACACAAACCATTAATGAGTGAGGGCAAGGACAGAAGAAGGAACATGACATTGCTGCACAAGTGGACGTGCGAGTGTGCGTGCGCACCTGGCTCTGTGTCTCTGGAATGACGATGACTGTCTTGTACCCGCGTGCATTGGCCACCAGTGCCAGCCCGATGCCCGTGTTGCCCGCCGTGCCCTCCACGATCACCCCGCCCTCCCTCAACTCGCCACTCGCCTCTGCCGCCTTGGGGGGGCAACACGGCGGGATGGCGGCATGATGTCAAGTGGGGCACAGGGTACTGGGTAGTGGATTGGGAGATGTGACAGATTGAGCAGCGCCGCAAGGAAGAGGGGGCACGCAGCATGGGCGGCATGGCCTACCCACAGCCATGCGCTCACCTTGATAATGTACAGTGCTGCTCGGTCCTTCACTGACCCTCCCGGATTCAGAAACTCCGCCTGCTCATCCCATCCGCACGCCACACCCCACATGCCACGTGCATTCGAGCAGGGGTGAGCACAACGCGTGGGATGGGGAAGGCAAGGGGTAGGGGGGGCGGGAGGATTGGGGGAAGAGCAGTGGAGGTTGAAGCAAGTGAAGCGCGCAGTGAGGAGCTTTCATAAGGCTAAGCACGCGCCATGGCGTGGGCTGACAGCCTTCTGGCAGTCCATCATGGCTACCATGGCAGAGCCCGCCAGCACACATCCCTCCCTCGCCTTGTCATACAACTTCCAGAAACTCCAAAGCTTGCCACGTCTATGCAAGCTTGCCACATAAAAGGCAGCTTGCCCCATCCCTGCCAGCTTGCCCCATCCCTGCCAGCGTGCGGTGTGCATGGGCGCACCTTGCCGTAAATCTCGCAGCCGGTCTCTTGTGATGCGCGGTTCAGGCGGATGAGGGGAGTGTTGCCCACCTGCCACCAGGGGCCACAGCGTGTGGTGTGCACACACACACATCATGTCACGCGGAGCAAGGGAGACAGCCGTGAGCAAGAGAGCGAGCAGGTGAACACTGGCGTCATGGCAGGCGAGCCTGCAGCCTCGACATGGGGAATGAGAATTGGGGTCCGTGCACGCACACTGACGCATGCTTGCATCCCGCCACCACCCACACTGTCAACGACTCACAACCTCCCTCGCTGCCACGCCCGCACCCCGTCACTACGCACGCCATGCGCGCAGCTCCCCCATTCCCCCAGCCCCTCTCACCGCGTCCACGAACCCGCTGCGCACTCCCAGGTCGCCCACGAACGGCCGCTTGGCGGCCTCCGCGGAGGCCATGGCGGCTGTCACCGCGGGAGACGCCGCGACGCGGACTGGGGCTACGCGCACACGCTGATTGAGGAACAAACAGAGGCGGGGAGCGCGGGGAGCAGGGGATTGAGAGGGAGCGGACCGTAAATACATACACATGACACGGCCGGCAGCGCGCCGCACGCGGACTGTGAATTAAGGGGACCGAACAGGGCGAAATGAGCCCCCGGGGCGCGAAGCAATTAACTTGGAGAGGGATGAGGAGCGGAAGGAGGAAGGGAGGCAGGGTCGGGGAAACGGGGATGAGGGGGAGAGGGGGGGAGTGGAAGTGGCATGCACCTGAGAGGCAGGCGAGGCGTGGTGCACTGGTTGAAACGACGACAGCAGCCCACGCCTGGTCGCACACACCGCCACAACGGGCTGCAGCAGCGGCGAGCCCAAGGCAAGCGAGCGACTTCCGGAGGCACGGATGGAGGGGCGCGGAAGCAGCACAGCTGCGCGCCTATGCAGGGCGGGCAGAGGGGAAGTTACGGTCATGGGGAAGGACGGATGCGGGTGCTGCTGGAGGAAGGATGGTGCAAGCGGCGAGGCTGGGGAGGAGAAGAGCTTATTCTGAGGTGGGTGATACACTGGCTGTGTGCATTGGCGATAGAAACATCACAGATGTGGCGAATTTTAGGCGAGGGAAAGTGTAGGCCTTTGCTGATACGGGCCCCACGCTGTGGAGGAAATTAGAAACATACATGCATGATCAGCAACAGTGACAGTTCTACAATGTCACAAGGTGAGGCTAACTGATTGTGTATAAGATACTTCCACAGGTATCTGTACAAAATAGCTCCATTCCATTTATGGCTGCAATGGTATTTGTAAATATAATTTATAGACAATTTATTTTAGTGCTTTGAGATTGAAATTTTATTTCTTTGCTAGTTGACACCGTTGGTTTAATTTTTGCAGAATATGCCAAATCGATTACAAAAACAAAATAATTCATTCAGATCATGGGATGTCATATGGTTGAGATGTTTGCCAAGTTTTGTGGTATCAATGCATAAACCCTCACACATTTCTACTGCTCATGGGTGCCAGTTTTGGATATTTATAATAATGTATATCAAAGCTCGTATTCTACTAATCTGCAACCCGAAATCAGACACTACAAGTGGAGCGTGACACCCGTCTATTTAGATTATTGACTCACGCGATTAGCATTTTGGCGGTGCACGCAATATCAATGCCACGCCATTCGCGGAGCCGAACAAGCACGGGAAAATCGGGATGTTCTGAAGCCCTCTTGGGAAAGCCCCGCTTCGGCTCCACATCAAGCTGCTCTGGTGGTGAGCCTGGTATGCTCACTCTGACTCACACACACTCCACCTCGAGATTGGCTCCACCCGGCACTCCAGTCACTTCGCTTCCTGGCTTTGCTTCAGCTTCCTCTTGGCTCAAGATTGAGTGGAAGCTTTGTAGGAGACAAGAGGGGTTTCCCCTGTTCAGAAATTACCGTCTGCGGTGAAATGGATGCGAGTGAGAGTGACATTTATTACTATTATGCTTGGAGATGGCGTGGAGAACATGCTTGTATGAATACTCCTAGGCATAAGCAAGCGATGGGGCTCGTAGGACCGCGTCGGAGGCTAAAAACTGCTGTGAATTGGGTATTCACCGTGGTTTCGATTCTGGTTTCCGCCGTCACGAGGATAATTCGAAACCCTTTGCAGAAAGCTGGGAAGAGCTTCCTCGCAACGAGCAGGACGTCCGCGGAGCTGGCTTGGCGGGGTATTAGGCAGCGCTTTACCGGACGTAGCTTCAAGAATTCGGCTGCGATAAGCAAAGTCCGCGCTCTCGCATTTCCGAGACTACTCAAAAAGCCATATCCCATCAAGCTTAAGTCACTGTTCAACAGGGCGAGGAAACAGCAGCCGGGGGCGCCGAGTCAAGTAAGTCGTGCTGTCATCATTCTGGTTATGCAATCTTTCTTTGAAGTATGTTCTCACACGATTTTTGTGATTCACTGCAGAGGACCTGGTTTGGCTCAAGATCCCGGGTAGCGGCACAGGAGCGGATGCACGGCGGGCAGTGCCCAGCGTGGACTGCTGACGCGTGGCCGAGTGTCGTCGGCAAACAACCCCTGCGACGAGGTTGCTCACTGGACAGCTTCATGGTAACAGACCCTGGAACGCCCGGCGTAACTGCCAGCAACATCGCATGCCTTTGCATGCCGCGGGCTCCGTTAGGTGAAGGGACTGAAGCCACGCAGCCTAGCTGTTTGGGCCTGAGCAGCCGAGGGGTGCGGTGGAGCCGGATTGGAGGCATGTGTGGCATCCGCGCATCGCGGTGGAGGACAGGCGCCGCTGATGAGTGCGATGGTGATCACGCACCCGGTGGTGACGCGAGCAGCTGTGCGGCGTCGACGCAGAGCACGGTGGACAACTCGACGGAGTCAGCCAAGGAGCGCCAGGAGCGCGAGTTCCTGGCCGAGCTCACGAAGCTAGAGGGCCGCGGCAGGCCTCCGCGTACAACCGCCATAGGCCGACACACCCTCAAGGCGGGGACGAGCTGGGATGCTGACCTCATCTCTCCAAGAGTGGGTGGGGAAGGCGTGCGGGAAGAATGCAAGCTCCACGAGGATGAGGGCCCGAGGCTGGGCATGCTGACGGGAAGGAAGAGCACCAAGAGATTCGGCAGCCACACCGATGTCACTGCTGCTATCGCCGCCTCCGCTGTGGATTTCCCTGCTTGCGACCCCACCGCTCTGCTGCCTCGCTCCAAGCGCCACAGCTCGTGTTTTGGGGGCAGTTCTTCGCGCTTCTATCTGGAGGCCGATGACGATGCGGATGTATACGGTGGCGATGCGCTGATCGAAGACATGGAGTTCGAACTGGTGGAGAAGGCGCTGCCCGGGTGGGGCCGGGAGACAGTGCGGTGCTTCAACCCGTTGTGGAGCTGGTGGGGCTGGGACGAAGACGCAGGGCCGTGGGACAGTGACGCAGAGGACGCGGGCGGAGAGGGCAGGCGGGTATGTAAGGAGGATCAGGAGGAAGGGGGAGTGGAAGAAGAGGAAGAGGAAGAAGAGGAGGAAGAGGATGAAGAGGACGAAGAAGAGGAGGAAGACGAAGAAGAGGAGGAAGGTGATTTGGAAGAGGAAGACGATGACAGTGAGGAGGATCAGAACATAAGGAATAGTATACGGAAAGGACACGCATTTATTGGCCTGAGTGAGAGTCATGTTGAGATTGGAGGGGAGGGGGAGATGGCAGTGGGTGTTTCTGGCGATCGTGGGTGGGAAGGAGCGACAGGCAGAGCGAGTGAGGGAGACAGTGGGTCGCAGGGCGTGGGAGGCTCGTCGCCTGTGTGCGAGCAGGCAAGCGATGGCGAGGTGAGCGACGGCATCTGCTGGAGCGACCTGGCGGACAGCGAGGGGCTGGGCGTGCGCAGTGGGGACGAGGCGGAGGCGCTGGAGAAGCTGCTGCTGTACGCTGAGAGTGGCAGAACGGGCGAGGGACAAACGGAAAGGGTGGAAGTTGCAGCACAGGGACATGCTGAGAGTGAGGAGTGTTGCTGCGTGCAGGTGGGGAAGGAGGTGTCGGAGCGTGCGTGCTTCACCAACGAGAGGGTGCATGTGGAGGTGGAGGCAAGCTCCCGTGGCCACACACATGGCGGCAGCAGCGCTGGTCCGTGCTCGGTGCAGGCAGCAGACGCTGCTGGCCGTGTGAGGCAGGGCGAGGCAGGACAGTGCGCGAGGACAGTGAGCACGCTTGAGTTGGAACCGGACGATGGGAGTGCTCATGACTCGAGTGAGGTTGAACTGCCACTGCACCGCAAGCCAAGGCCGGGTGGCAGCCGAAGCACCATGGGCGGTAGCCAGGGGGATCCAGCAGGGGATCAGAAGTGGCAGAGGGAGGCGCAGGCAGTGTTGGGGGCGTGCAGTGCGAGCAGCGATGGCAACGTGAGGATCGTGCGCTTTCTGGACATATTTGATGTGGGGGGGTGCGTGGGCGAGGGGCGGTGGGGCAAGGTGTTCAAATGCCAGCACAGGACGTCGGGGGAGTGGCTGGCGTGCAAGACGCTGCGCAAGACGGAGCGGCGCATCCCCGTGCTGCAGCAGGAGATCAACCTGCTCACTGCACTCACGCACGTGCCCAACGTGGTGTCGCTGCGCGGCGTGTACGAGGAGCCCAAGCGCGTGCACCTGCTGCTGGAGCTGGGCCGCTGCGACCTCTTCTCCGTGGTGGAGGCGGGCGGGGGCGTGGACGAGGCGAGTGCAAGAGCCATGTTCCGCGGCATTGTGCAGGGCTTGGCGGACATCCATGCACGCGGCATCATACACCGCGACATCAAACTGGAGAATGTGCTGCTCGTGGGGCCCTCTGCGACGGCAGGGCTGGAGATAGGTGAGGCAGCAGCGGCAGCAGTCATGTGGGAGTACAGCGCAGAGGACACTGTGAAGATCACTGACTTTGGGCTGGCAACGCAGCTGCAGGCGGGGCAGTGGATGGGGCCGGACGTGACAGGGTCGCCGCACTACATGGCTCCGGAGGTGGCTCTGGGGGCGCAGTACAACCAGAAGGCAGACGTGTGGTCTGCTGGCATCGTGCTGCACGCACTGCTGCTGGGCGTGTACCCCAGCTGGAACGAGGACAAGGGCTGCGTTGACATTTCACACGAGCGGGTGAGGAAAGGGACGCATCTCGAAAGTTCGTCAAGCCACGGAGTGCAGGGGGGTGGATGCAGTAACACAAGTGGAGGCAGCAGTAGTAGTGGTTTTGGTGGTGGTGGCGGAGGTGGAATGGGCATCTCCCGGAGCGCTCGTCGGCTGCTGAAAACGCTGTTGCAAGTGCGGGTGGAAGCGAGGCCAACAGCAGAGCAGGTGCTGCAGCATGAATGGCTGCACTCATAACCACTCTTGTGCCTCTGCGCCATACCTAAAATATCATGCCATCAACTCACGATTTGTACTCCTCAACACTGCAGTGCAGCTGTGCCTGAAATGACCCTCTGGCATCTGCCATGACTTGTGCAGTTGTATGTCAAACACCAAACCCCATGTGCAGCTGGCTGTTGCCATTGTCTGGAATAAATACGGAATAAAATAAATAATATGTCTGGTCCAACGAGTAGGTAGCATAGGTACCGGTATAATCTGGAAAAACAAACCAGGTATAATCAAAAGTTGATCGTCCCTAGCATCACCTCAGGAAGGTTCGCACACGACTGAGTTGTGGTGGTGGGCCCTTGACCTCAATAGCAGAGTGGATGTAAAATGCTTGAGATGATTGAAACATGCAAGTACAAAGGTATAAATAAGAGTACATGAAGGAATACGAATCGACCTAGCTAGCCATGTACTCTAAGGGATACATTCGCTTATTACAGCGAAATCCAACCGTGCGACTCCAGGCAGTTACGAAACTGTCCGGGCAAAATCCTCGCCACTGCAGCTGCCTGATGCTGTCTACCCGACGGTCCAGATCCTTTTCGTGATCGTATGACGCTTCGCGTCACTTCTGCCTTTTCGCCTTCATCCTTGGTAGTTCATGCTTCGATTGCTGCGGTAAAGAGTGCACAATGATGTTTCAATAATTACTCTTTGTAACACCCTCCTTAACTCCTGGCCGTAGCGAGTCTTGACCCGCTTGACTACTCCGCTGAATTCGGAGCAGTGTGTCAAAATGTCATAGTGCTTGCTTTGTGTAGGCTATAGTGGGGTAGCCCATAAGGGTACAACCCAATTAGGGTTAGTACTTGTACCCAAGTCTTTCATAGTTCATTCATTCTCGTTCATTAGTTTGACATGGTTTCAGAGCAGGTCCTTCGTTAGGACCAAATATTTTTTTTGGGCCCACCACAGAGCTGCCCCACTAGCTGCCCTGCCGCCCTACCCTACTGACGCGCCGCCCTTCTGGCCACGGCACCGCCCCTAGCAGCTCGTCGCGCCGCCCTTAGCAGCCCACGAGCCGCCCCTGGAGCTAGCGAGCTGCCCCTGCAGCCCGCTCGCCACCTGCTCCCGGCCTGCGCGCCGCCCCTGCAGCCCGCGCGTCGCCCGCTTGCGGCCCGGCCGCCGCCCCTAGGCCCGCTAGCCGCCCCTGCAGCCCGCGCGCCGCCCCTGCAGCCCCGCGCGCCGCCCCTACAGCCCCGCGCGCTGCCCCTGCAGCCCGCGCGCCGCCCCTGCAGCCCCGCGCGCCGCCCCTGCAGCCGCGCGCGCTGCCCTTGCGGCCCGCTAGCCGCCCCTTAGGGTTAGTACTTGTACCCAAGTCTTTCATAGTTCATTCATTCTCGTTCATTAGTTTGACATGGTTTCAGAGCAGGTCCTTCGTTAGGACCAAATATTTTTTTTGGGCCCACCACAGAGCTGCCCCACTAGCTGCCCTGCCGCCCTACCCTACTGACGCGCCGCCCTTCTGGCCACGGCACCGCCCCTAACAGCTCGTCGCGCCGCCCTTAGCAGCCCACGAGCCGCCCCTGGAGCTAGCGAGCTGCCCCTGCAGCCCGCTCGCCACCTGCTCCCGGCCCGCGCGCCGCCCCTGCAGCCCGCGCGTCGCCCGCTTGCGGCCCGGCCGCCGCCCCTAGGCCCGCTAGCCGCCCCTGCAGCCCGCGCGCCGCCCCTGCAGCCCCGCGCGCCGCCCCTACAGCCCCCCGCGCTGCCCCTGCAGCCCGCGCGCCGCCCCTGCAGCCCCGCGCGCCGCCCCTGCAGCCGCGCGCGCTGCCCTTGCGGCCCGCTTGCTGCCCCTTAGGGTTAGTACTTGTACCCAAGTCTTTCATAGTTCATTCATTCTCGTTCATTAGTTTGACATGGTTTCAGAGCAGGTCCTTCGTTAGGACCAAATATTTTTTTTGGGCCCACCACAGAGCTGCCCCACTAGCTGCCCTGCCGCCCTACCCTACTGACGCGCCGCCCTTCTGGCCACGGCACCGCCCCTAACAGCTCGTCGCGCCGCCCTTAGCAGCCCACGAGCCGCCCCTGGAGCTAGCGAGCTGCCCCTGCAGCCCGCTCGCCACCTGCTCCCGGCCCGCACGCCGCCCCTGCAGCCCGCGCGTCGCCCGCTTGCGGCCCGGCCGCCACCCCTAGGCCCGCTAGCCGCCCCTGCAGCCCGCGCGCCGCCCCTGCAGCCCCGCGCGCCGCCCCTACAGCCCCGCGCGCTGCCCCTGCAGCCCGCGCGCCGCCCCTGCAGCCCCGCGCGCCGCCCCTGCAACCCTGCGCACCGCCCCTTGCGGCCTACCCGTCGCCCCTAGGCCCGCTCGCTGCCCCTACGGCCCGCTCGCCGCCCCTTGAGGCCCACTCGCCGCCCCTTGAGGCCCGCTTGCTACCGCCCTGCCCTCCCTGCAGAGTTCCTTAACAGAAACCCCCCCCCCCCCCCCCACGATGTACATCACTCTCTACTTCATAGTCACCCGCCTCCCTGACTCTCTTCGCGAAGTAAGGGACCACTCTCTCGCACTTGATCCCACATACCTCACTATTGACCTGCTCGAGCAGCACCTCCTTGCACCTGAGACTAGTGTAGTCGCTGTAGGTGCCGCTCGTGGCAATCCTCGCACGCTCTTCTTTGAGGGATGTTCCCCCTCCCCCCTTGCCCCCTCCTACGCCTGTGCTGCTGCTGTTGACGTCCTTGGTGCTGAGGATGTCGGGGCTGCTTCTGCTCGTGGGAAGCACCGCAGCAGCAAGGGCAAGGGTGGCAGGAGTGGTGGAGGTGGCAGCAGAGGTGGTAGTGGGGGCGGCAGTGGAGGCAGTGGAGGTGGTGGCAGCGGTAGGAGTGGTGGCGGGAGTGGGGGATTTGGTGGCGGCGGTGGTGGCAGCGGTGGGAGTGGCGGTAGTGGCGGCAGTGGGAGTGGTGGCAGTCGGGGTGGAGCTGTTTAGAGGGGAGGTTCTGGCGGGGGCCAGCGGCAGCAGCAGCAGCGTCGGAGCGAGACCCCTTCGCCCCAGCAGCTTCGTGAGTGGTTTTCTCAGCGTGGGGTGTCTGGGGGTAGTGTTAGCTGCCCGTATGTCATTCGCACGGGTGACCGTGCTGGTCAGACATGCGGGAAGCCTCACACTCAACACCGCTGCTTCTCCCGCTTTGACGACGCTTGGCGCGTAGAGTTTGGTGACGAGGCCGAGCGCCACGGCTGGGCAGAGCTGCTTAGGTCTGGAGTTTCTATCTTTGATCTTGACTATGATGCTATCCTTCATGCTATGTATGCCTTTTCTGTTAGTGCTGAGGGTGACTGTTACCTGTGTGTGCCGCCTGACCCAGGTTTAGAGGTTGCTGCTCTAGGTGCTAGTGAGTCTGCTCTCCCTGGTACTGCGCCTGCTGAGGCCTTGCACACCTTTACGCTTGACTCAGGTGCTTCTCGATGTTTCTTTCGCGACAGCACCACTCTCACTCCACTCCCTGCACCTGTTCCGGTCAGACTGGCTGACCCCTCAGGGAGCCCAGTTCTTGCCCGTTCCTCCAGTGTTCTCCCGTGTCCGGCAGTTCCGTCCGGCTCACTGTCACGTCTTCACCTCCCCTCGTTCTCGACGAACTTGGTGAGTACCGCTGCCCTCCAGGATGTGATGGTCACTACCACCACTCCTGGGGGTCAGAGTGTGTCGATCTGCACGTGTACACGGACGGGCCGTCACCTGGCCACATTCACCCATTGGCCTGGGTCGAGTCTGTACACACTGGCTACCGAGCCTCCCCAAGTAGCTGCGTCTGCTCAGGTGTCCGCTTCAGGTCCGGGAGCACCCCCCTGCTCGTGTCGCCTCCTGTCGCACCAGACTCTCCTGTGGCACCACCGCCTTGGTCACCCCTCCCTGCCATGCCTTCGTGGCATGCACTCCCACCTACATGTTTCTGGTCCTCCCAGGTCTCTGCCTCCCATCCCGCCCTTGCGGAGATTCACTCTACAACGGTAGTGAGCTAGACTACGGGGGTTGGCACGAACTACTGGGAGTGATCAAAGCTTTGCCTAGTTCCTTAGTGCTTGCACAATCACGGGAGAAATTGGCAAGAGTTTCCACTAGCAAAGTTGGAATTACATAATTATTGAACAAGCAATAACAACAATGACTACATCAGGCACCTAGCAATCTTGCAGCTAGCCTGGTCGACATCCAGCACAGCATCGTCGACCGCCTGCCAGCGTTGCGTAGAGGAGCCGCACCAGCACTGCAGAAAGGCGACCTGCCAACACAGCAGGTCGACGGTGTGCCAACGCTGCAGCAGAGCGACTGTCCAGCGTTGCCCCATAGAAGACAGAAGTGCGCACGCTCGCAGATGCGTGCAGACGATTGGCCCGACTTGCACCGTTGTGCATTTGTCGGCTGTTGTCTGCGCCTGACGAGCCACGTCGACTTCGGGATACCAACCCGATGTCGCCTTCGCCATCGCGACTTCGACGACGTCTGCGTGCCTCCGCAGAACTCGCCGAGCAAGTTACCCGGTCGACTTGGACAACCCCAAGTGCCTCTGGTCGACCACCGGGTCCCTCTGGTCGATCACAGCTCCCGTCAAGCTACCCCCTGGTCGACGGACCCCTTCCGTTGACCAGAACTGTCGACCGCTGCTCACTTCTCAGGTCGACGGACTACTCCGTCGACCTCCCAGTCGAACAGCCCCTCCTGGTTGACGGCCCTCCCGTCGCCCAGACTAGTCAGTTGCAGCTGTCGAGCTCCCTGGTCGACAGCAACACCACAGCGGTCCCCTGCAGCTCGACGAAGCCTGTTGAGCAGCTCTCCCACTGTGGATGGTCGGCTGCTATTCCCGTACATCCGACCAAGTCATCGGCGTTGCCCAAGCGAGGGTGGGGCCAACACTTCACTCCCGTTAACACTCCCCTGCCGCGCTCACGCTTGGGCCCCCAGCCCACACGGCAGCACACTACGGAGAAAAGTCGTCCTCGGTGTGCACCCCTCACAC